AGGCGGGTTCAATTTAAGGCAGATCATTTTAGCAACGTTTGACCAAACTATTCACACAAGAGGTCAGGCTGATACGAAGTCACTGTTCGCTCAAACATACCGTGACATAATGGATATTGAACCCATCCCTAACACCAATATGCCTGCTAATTTTGGTCATCTTGCTGGTGGATATGATGCTCAATATTATGGCTATATGGTAAGTTTATACTGTTCAGTTAATACTGTAGAATAGATAAGTGGTGATTCCATTAAAATTTTAAGATTGTTCAGTATCAGTTAACTGATTGACAGTGTTTCAGACAATCATCACAAATTGCTGGAGACAATTATTGTTCCATCTTCTAAAGGTATTTTGTTTCTTAACATGCTAGTTGTCTCCCACCAAGGCAGGGTGATTCGAAAAAGAAACACTTTCACCATCATTCACACTATCACTGTCTTACCATAGGTGTGAAGATACAACAGTTTAGATGTCCCTCCAAACAGCAAATACAGTGGAACCTCTACTTATGAGTTTAAACCGTTCCATGACCTTGCTTGCATCTGGATTTGCTCGTTTGGAGAGTCAATTTTCTTCATTTAAATTAATTGAAATGGAATTAATCCGTTCCCTTGGAATTCCAGGTACGACAAAATACTTTAATAATTTCCCGAATATCAACTCTACGGCTTATTTATCTATCACAATTCGTCTAATATGACATAATAAACATATAAATAACATAGATACCTGATATATACTTTAGCATGAATAAAATATGTCATGTAGTGGTATCGGTGGCGGATGAGAGTTGGGAGACAGGACAAAATACTCCTTGAATAATTTTGTTAATATCATCTCTCTGGCTTATTTATCTATCACATTTCATTTAATATGACATAATAAACAATATATACTCTAGAATGAATAAAATGTCATTGTGACAGGTGGAGGCGGCCACAACCGCTCCTGCATTTATTTATTTTATTTTTATTTATTTATTTATTTTGTCTTTGCAAACAGTACATTGGGATTTTGTATTTACAATAGTGGGTTGCAATGCAAAGAAAGCCTCTATTATGCCTAGGCATTATGGGCCAACTTAACATTATTGGCTTACAGTCTACTTAACACTAAGGAGTATATCATAGTTGTACAGTAGGATAGTAATTATTTCATAGTTGTACAGTAGAATATTAATTATAAATGAATCAAAATTTGTACAAGACAAAGATATATTTATATTCGAAAATGCTTTTTGTGAAAACAATGATTCAATTATATTCCTGTCAACAATAGATAAAAGGTTCAAAGTGATTGTTTCAGTTATGATGTGGGAGTACATAGGTGAGTAAGTGTGTACTGAGTATTTAGCATTTAGTCTAGGGTGATTAAGTGGCTTTTGAGAAGAGTTTTAAATTAATTTTCAGACTGGGTTACTTTAATATCATCTGGTAATGAATTCCATATTTTGGGGCCCTTTATGTGCATAGAGTTTCTACACAGTGTGATATGGACATGAGGTATATCAAAGAGAGATCTGTGACTTGTGTTGTGGTCATGTGTCCTGTTTAGGTTGGTGAGAAGTTTGAGTGGAGGGTTTATATTGTTGTGGTAATCACTGCAATCTAGTGATGGCCTTTTGAAGCCATCTGTTATTATAATTATTGTACAAGACTTCCAGCAAGCGTGCATGAGCGTGTTAGATAGGAGTGAATGGAGACGAATGATACTTGGGACCTGACGATCTGTTGGAGTGTGAGCAGGGTAATATTTAGTGAAGGGATTCAGGGAAACCGGTTATTTTCATATAGTCGGACTTGAGTCCTGGAAATGGGAAGTACAATGCCTGCACTTTAAAGGAGGGGTTTGGGATATTGGCAGTTTGGAGGGATATGTTGTGTATCTTTATAGGTATATGCTTCTAAACTGTTGTATTCTGAGCACCTCTGCAAAAACAGTGATAATGTGTGAGTGTGGTGAAAGTGTTGAATGATGATGAAAGTATTTTCTTTTTGGGGATTTTCTTTCTTTTTTGGGTCACCCTGCCTTGGTGGGAGACGGCCGACTTGTTGGGAAAAAAAAAAAAACAAGCGAGCGGCCCATATTCTTTCACATGCTATTTCATTACTTTTTAACAAGTCACTAGAAACTAGCACCTTCCCGAAACTACTCAAGACAGCAAGGGTTACACCAATACGTAAAGGTGGTTACCCTACAGATGTAAACAACTACAGTAGGGCCCCACTTATATGGCATGTTAGGTTCCAGGCTACTGCCGTAAAGCGGAAATCGCCGTAAAGTGGAACACCCTTTTTTTCCACTTATAAATGCATACAAATACTAGATAACAAGTTTACACTAACATATACATGTATTAAGTTAGCAATAGAACTAAGCATCAAAAAACAATAAAAAATTACAATGCACACATAGTGCACTCGTTAATTACCTTAAAATACTATTTATAGTCTTAATCTAGGGTGAGACAAGTAGTATTTATTGTAAGAAATCAAGTGTGGTATGTATGGTAGTCAGCCGGGCTACCATACCAGGCCATCCCACCTACACATAATATTCTATTACATTTAAGCATCCCAGAGCGATAAAATGCATATGCAGTTTACTCATTACTTACCTTAAAATATTTGTAGTCTTAATCTACCTGAATAAACTTACATACATACGAAAGGAATAATTTTCTACAGTGACTTCCAGTAACACATTTTCTCTTATGTTAGATTAGAGAAAATGTTGTTCTTGCTATCACTTGTACAAGTTATCTGGCTACGACATTTCAAATTTATGTTTATTTATTATATTGTGGGGTGTATTTATCATCTTTATATGTTATGTATCATGTTTATTATATAATTTTGAACAAAATATCATGGATGGATTAATGAAAATGTGTATATTATATTATATTACTGTATATTATGTGTATATTATATTAAAGGTAGTAGGTTGGTAGACAGCAACCACCCAGGGAGGTACTACCGTCCTGCCAAGTGAGTGTAAAACGAAAGCCTGTAATTGTTTTACATGATGGTAGGATTGCTGGTGTCTTTTGTCTGTCTTATAAATATGCAAGATTACAGGTATGTCTTGCTACTTCTACTTACACTTAGGTCACACTACACATACATGTACATGTTTCTTTATACACACTCATCTGAGTTTTCTTTGATTTTATCTTATTACATTCTTGTCTTATTACTTGTTCCTTTATATCCATGGAAGTGGAATAAGAAATCTTTCCCTCCGGAAGCATGCCGTAGTTGGAAAGTCAACTTAAATGCCGGAACAATGGCTAAGTAACCCCTTTTCCTGTAAGATTACTAGAAAAAAAAGAATAAGAATAAGAAATTGTCAAAGTGGAAGTCTAATGTGCGGGATGATGTGCAGCATGAGAAGAAAGAGATGATTTTGTGGATGTTAGAATGAGAAGAAGCTGATGTCCTGGCTTTAATGAAAACAAAGCTGAAGGGGTGGGAGAGTTTTTCAAGAAAGGAATAAAATGGGATTAGGTCAGGGTTTCAAATAGAGTTAGAGCTAAAGAAGGATAGCAATAATGTTGAAGGATATAGCTATGGCAGGAAAAAGAGGGATATAAATGTATTAATTCCAAGGATTATGTGAGTAAAATTAAAGATTGGCTGTGAAAAGTGGTTATAGTATGCTGATGCACCTGGAGAAGAGAGAAGTGAGGAGGAAGAGAGAGATTTTGGGAATTATTGAGTGAAATGCCATGGGGATTTTGAATCAAGTGTGAGAGTAATGGGGTTGGGGAGTTCAATGCTTAAAGGGGGTAAAAATGTTATGTAGGAGTCGTATGTAAAATTTGGGGTTGCCAGGGGTAAATGTAAATGGGGAGCCTTTATTTGAGCAATGTGTAGAAAGAGAGTTTGGTAATAAAGTAAATCCATATTTGAGGAAAAAGGGGTGAGTGGTGCACTCAGAGTCTGTGGAACAAAGAACTGTGTCCTTGAAGCAAAGAGGGGCATGTATGAGAGTAAATAGTTTTACCAATGCACTTATATGGGTGTGAAGCAATGGGTGATGAAAGTTGCAGCGAGGAGAAGGCTGGAGGCAGTGGAGATGACATGTCTGAGCAATGTTGGTTGTGAATATAATGCAGAGAAATCGTAGTTGGAAGGTTAGAGGAGGTGCGGGCTTACCAAAAACTGTTGTCCAGAGGCTGAGGAAGGTTGTGGAGTGGTTCGGACATGTAGAGAGAATGGAGCGAAACAGAGATGACTTCAAGAGTGGTTATCCGTCTGTAGTGGAAGGAAAGCGGGGTAGGGGTCGTCCTAGGAAAGGTGGAGGGAGGGGGTAAAGAGGTTTTGGTGCGAGGGCTGGACTTACCAGCAGGCATGCGTGAGCGGTTTGCTAGGAGTGAATGAGACAATGGGTTTTGAATACTATGACGTGCTGTTGGATGTGACAAAGTAACATTTATAAGGGTTCAGGAAACCGCAGCCGGACTTGATCCTGCGATGGAAGTACAGTGCCTGCACTCTGAGGAGGGGTGATATGTTGCAGTTTAAAAACGAATGTAAGCACCCTTCTGGCAAGACATGATGGAGTGAATGATGGTGAAACATTTTCTTTTTCCAGCCACCCCCCCTTGGTGGGGAACGCCATTGTGATAATAAAAAAAAAATAAATAAAAATATTTCACGACAAAGATGATAAATAAATATACAAGGTAGATGTAGGACCGTAAATGAAATAGCAGATTAATGTATTGGTGATAAAAGGTTAAGGTTATGCTCCAAAGTACATGTTTATAGAGGGGCAACAGATATATCGATCATTATATAGTTGTAGCTACAGTAGAGTAAGAGGTAGATGGGAAAAGAGAAGTGGCAACACAATAAGAGGGAGTGAAAGTGTAATAAACTAAGGAAGGAGAAGTTCGGGCGAGATATACGCGACTATTGGCAGAAAGGTGGGCCTAGTGCAAAGATAGTAGTGGGGGGGTTGAAGAGAGGGTTGGAATAGTTTTAAAAATCAGTATTAGAATGTGGGGCAGAGTTTGTGTTAAAGGAGGGTGGAGGCAGTGAGAAGAGGATGATTGTGAATGATTGAAGTAAAGGGTGTGATAAAAAGTGAGAAAAAGGTAGCTAATGCGAGGTTTTAACTAGCAGAATGATTATACGAAGAGCAGAGTATATGAGAGTAAAAGAACGGTGAAGAGAGTGGGTTGCGAAGAGTGGAAAAGGAGAGCAGATATAGAGTGGGAGAGGCACTGTCAAGAAATTTAATAAAATAAGAAAACATTTAGAGTGATTAAACAATTTAGGAAAGCCTTAGGGAAAGTATGGAATTTGTCCAGTTTAAAAACAGAGTAGGGGAGTTTAGTAGATGGAGATGGAGGTATTAGTAATGGCGAGAATATTTTGAGGAAACGTTTAAATGTTAAGGAAGAAAGGGAGCGGTAATTTCATGCACTGGTCAGGGAGTATACACTTTAGGAGAGACAGAAGAGCAGAAATGTAAGTGTGGGGAGGTACGTGAGGCATTCCGTAGAATGAAAGGTGTAAAGCCAGCTGAACGGATGGATCATGACAGAAATGTTAAAAGCAGGGGGGATAGAGTGTAGGAGTGGTTGGCCTCTTTTGTTTTAATAAATGTATAAAAGAGGAGAAGGTACCTAGGGATTTAGGCGGAGAGCATGTATAGTCCCTTTAATAAAAGGGAAAGGGGAACAAAAGAGATGTAACAATTATAGAGGAATAAGTTTCTGATATACCAGGAAAGTGTACGGTAGGGCTATAATGAAAGAATAAGAGTAAGACAGAATGTAGATTGCGGATGAGCAAGGGAGGTTTCAGAGTGGGTAGGGATGTGTAGATCTAGTGTTTCATTGAAGCAGTAGTGAACATTATTTAGTAAAGTTAGGGAAGTATTTTTATTTCATTATGATTTAGAAAAGCATATGGATCGAGTGGATAGAGGAGCAATGAGGCAGATGTCAAGAAAATGGAATCGGGTGGTAAGTTTTATTAAATGCTACTAAAGAGTTTTTATGAGGATAGTGAGGCTCAGGTTAAGGTGTGTAGAAGAAGAGGAGACTACTATCTTCCCGGTAAAAGTAGGTCTTAGACAGGATGTGAAATGTCACCATGGCTGTTTAAATATATTTTATAGATGGGGATGTAAAAGAAGTAAATGCTAGGGTGTTTCGGAGAGGGTGGGGTTAAATAATTGGAACAGAATTCAAAATGGGAATTGACACAGTTACTTTTTGCTGATGATACTGTGCAGATGAGAGATCTAAAGAAAGTTTGAATATGAACATAGAAAAGAGTAAGGTTATGAGGTACCAAATGATTTAGATAAAGGAAAATTGGATATCAAATTGGGAGGAATATGGAAGAAGTGAATGTTTTTCCAATACTGGGAGTTGACGTGTCGGCGAGGGTTTTATGAAAGGATGAGGTTAATCATAAATTGATGAAAGAAAGGCGAGTGGTGCGTTGAGTAATGTGGAGTCAAAAAATGTTATTTCTGGAGGCAAGAGGGAATGTATGAAAGCATAGTAGTACAAACACTCATATATGGGAGGTGAAGCTTGGGTGGTAAATGCAGCAGCGAGGAGACGGTTGGAGGCAGTGGAGATGTCCTGTCAAAGGCATGTGAGGGGTAATATTATGTAAAAATTCGAGTGTGGCAATTAGCGAAAAGTTGGAAGATTAATAAAAGTATTATCAAGGGCGGAAGAGGGGTTGGTTGCGGTGGGTTGGTCATTAGAGAGAATGGATCAAAGTAGAATGACATGGACAAGCATATAAATCTATAGGGCAGGAAGGCGGTAAGGGTCGTTCTCAAAAGGTTGGAGAGAGGGGGTAAAGGAGTTGTACTGTGGCGAGGGCTTGGAGACATCCACAAGCGTGCGTGAGCGTGGTTAGATAGGAGTGAATGGAGACGAATGGTACTTTGGACCTACGATCAGTAGGAGTGTGAGCAGGGTAATATTTTAGTGAAGGAATTCAGGGAAACCAGGTTATTTCATAAGGCGACTTGAGTCCTGAAATGAATACAATGCCAGCCTTAAGAGGGTTTTGGATATTGACAATTGGAGGGATATGTAGTTTATCTTTAAATGAATATTTGCTTCTAAACTGTTGTATTCTGAGTCACCAACTGCAAAAACAGTGATAGTGTGTGAGTGTGGTGAAAGTGTTGACTGATGATGAAAGTAATTCTTTTGGGTCACCCTGCCTCTGTGGGAACGGCCCTACTTGGTTGAGAAATATATATATATAATATATAATATAAATTATAAATATATATATATATATATATATATATAAACTTTTATATAATAAAATATATATATTATATATAGATTATATATAAAAATATATTAATATATATAAAATTTAAATAATATATATATTAGATAAATATATATTATATATTAAATATAGATTAAAAATCTATATATTTTATAAATATATATCTATTTTATATAAATATAAATATATAAATATATATATTTATATATATATATATATATAATATATATTTTATATATATATATTATATATATTTTATATCATATATAAATACTATAAATTATATATATATATATATATATATTATATAAATAATATATATATATTTATCTAATCAATATATATATAAATATTATATATATATATATATATATCATATAATTTATAATATATATATATATATTATTAGATAAAAATATATATATATATATATATATATAATTATCTATA